CTGGGCTCTCCTACTTCAGGGGCCTACAGGGGTACTAGTTGGCTGCTGGGTTTCCAATACAAAGGACAGAATTCCTGCCTTGCAGCACCCACCTCTGAGGAAGCAGAGTCCTTCATGGGAAAAGGGAATGCCACAGGGTTGGTGTGGATTTGAGACCTACAAAGGCTGAGAAGGGGCAGACAGGTGCATTCTGTGCTATTTCACAAGCCCCGGGGCAATCCAAAGAGGAAAGTCAAGGTGATGCAGGACTTAAGCAGGAGTGTTTGTTAATTCATTAGATCAATTTAAGCGCCCAAACAAAGAAGAGTGACAACAATGGCATTTTACTTTTTGAAATAGAAACTTCTTGAAAAATTAAGTTCTTCTAATAAAATTTTAATTTGTTTAAAATGAAAATGAATTTTGAATGAAGAAAGATCTCCAACTCATTTTATTAAAAGGACTATGTTCTTTTTACTTGAAAAAAAAATGGTGCTTAATCCTCAAAGGAGTTTCTGTTTAACAGATGAGAAAGACAAATTATTTCTGCCTTTGAGAGCTGCTTTGCTTCCCGGCAGTGGTTCTTCCCTACTCCCTGGAATCCCTTATTTTTTTCCTCATAATATATCACCTGACTGGTGGAGGAGGAAGGATTGCCTCCCACCCCCTTGGTGGCAGGGTGCAGGGCATGTCACCAGAGACATCATTAAGACAACAGAAATAGGCTCAGGTGCTTTCAGTCCCCTTCCTGAACACAGGAGAAAAGATTCCTAAGGTACCGCAGCTAGATTTTTGGAGCCAAGCCTCTTAGGAAAAGACTAGGCAAGGACATGCTCTGCCATACACTCTCCCTCTCCCCTTCCCGGGGCCCAGGCCTCTCCCTTCCCCAGGCCCAGGCCTCGCCTGGCCCAGCAGTCCTTGGCAGGTGTAAGCACACTGCCTGGTCAGCAAACGCTGACAATTAGTGGCCAGTTGAAGTCACAGGAAACAATTTCATCAAAGTCGCACCTCTGCTCCCCCCCACCCCGAACATGTCCATTAGAGCACCAGGGAATTGTTGGAAGTTGTCCAGCTGCTAACTAGCTGCTGGCCAGTGCGTATTAAATGAGAAGTTTCAGAGGCTGTGGCTAACTCACAAACACCTGCAAGACTCAATTTGAACACTAGAGTACCCCACTATTAACAAGTCATTTTTAAAAACCACCTTGTAATTGTGCCTGACAGTATGAAATCATAGGCTATAAACTATGATGACAGTGTATATGTTTGGGAGTCTTTCCACAGGGTCTTCTAGTGCATGAGAGACTAGAAGCAGAAGACCAGGTGTTTAGGCATGGGGACCACTAGGTGCCTAATGCCCTTCCAGCCTCTTTCTCCAGTTGCAAAATCAAGGGCTGGGCAATGTTTGAGTACTCAGGAACTGTAACAGTCAAAGTAATATGAGACTATGTTGCTATAACAAATAAAGCCAACCAAGTTGATTTCTTTCTCACACATCATCCTCTGGGGTCATCAGATGCCCATTTAATGTCTTAGAGAATGGGCTCCCTCTAGCCTGTGATGCATGTCTCAGCAGGAGCTTCCCAGGTCCCCACAGCAAGCAAGAACTTGGAAGGCATAAGAGCCTCAGCCTGGTAGTGAGACAAGCCCTTCCCGACACAGTCACCACCCAGATGCAGGGGTCTGGGAACTTTGCAAAAGCATCTGAAAGAGTTGTGGACACAAACCCTCTCCATCACCAGATCACATTCTATTTACTTATTTTAATAAATTAATCAATTTATCTGAACAGACATTAATAGAACATCATGACAAGCTACACTGCAAAAGTCAAGAAGAAAAGGTTCTTCAAATTTAGTCTGCCTGACACACAGGAAAACAGATAGAGAGATGAGAATAACAAGAAACCAAATGTCCAACAGACAGCCCAGAGGAGGAGGGACATGGACAAGTCCAGGGCCCTGGCCTCTAGGAGTTACCCTGGGGAGACCAGTGCGCTCCAACTCATGCTGAGCCTTCTGGCTCTGAGTAACATGGGGAACACTTGGTACCCACTTAATGAGGCCTAGCCACTCCCCCCTCCTCCCTACCCAAACCAGTGCATGGTGAAGTTCTGTTAGTCTGTCTACAGCCCAGGAAGCTGCACTTAGTGTTCTTCCTCTAGTCCAGGCTTTACTGCCTCCATAAGACTTTTTTTCTGCCATAACTGATGTCATTAAAAACATTCCAGGCACCAGCTTCTAGTGTTGGTCCCTTCAAGAAAGTGAATAGGCCTAAATATATTGTGTCTGCGCAAAACTCAAGGAGAGGGATGTGTTAATCAGTATAGAAATTTAGACCCTAACACTGACTGCATCAGTCATGTTCTCCCAGTAATGAGATTTGTCAGCAACACACAAAGTTTCTCCATCCTTTTCTGGTCTCAATTATATAACTCCTGAAAAGTTTGTAATTAGCAGAAAAGTAGAACTGGACACATATACTGCATTTAAGGACCACAGTGTTCAGAATCCTACCTAACTACTCCATTTCTTAGAATTTGAGTTTCTGTGCACATTAAAGGTACAGGAAGCTCAGCTGGCATCTGTGGTGGTACTGACAGCAACTTCTAGCATCAGACACCCTGGGATAGCTTTTGGGATTTTTTTTAAAGATTTATTTATTTATGCATACAGAACTGGGTACAGGCCAGAGATGCAAGGGCGGTGAGAGGATTCACCAGAGACAGAGTAGGGAACAGGACAGGCCAACTGACAAAGTACACTGCTGAAGGGAGCAGCAGGCAGGTCAGGAGAGGGCTGCGGCGCCATGTGGGTCACCTCCGGGGTGGGGATTGAACTCATGCTGATGTGGCTATAGCTACTTAGTGCTGTGCTTTAACCCGCTGTGACACCAGGGAGGGCCTTGGAGGTTTTTTAAATCTCTGCCTCTTTCCTAGGATCCTTGCATGGTCCTGACTAGCAAATATGGTACTGTGGCAAATGTACTCCAGATGGCAGATTAAGTAAATATGAGGCTCCTTATGGGGGGGCTATGGTGTCTTGGTGGTGGGTGTGACGTGACATATATTTGAAGAGGTGTGATTCTAAACCTCTGAGTGTTGGAAAGCAATGACATCCCAACAAAAATATAATCAAACAAACAAAAGGACAGCAAGAAAATAAGAGTATTTTGTTCATAAACATAAAGAGGGGGACAAAAAAAAAAAAAAGGACAACCAGCTACCTACATATTTCAATGAAATTCTGAAACAGGAGTGGAAGTAGCACACAAGATTTTTGATCACAGTTACTCAAGAGCTGGAGTGGCTCTGTGTAAACTGGGGATCCCTCCTATAGGGACGACTGTGTGAAATTACCAGGAGGAATTGTGCAGAGGACCCATGGCAGTGCCAATTCACACTGACTGCTTTATACATTTTTGTTCTCTTTCTGTGAATTCACTTGAATGACCTAATTGTGCTGAACCCTTCAGCTCCATTATCCCTTTCTACCTGACCATCATGGTATATTCAAAGGACATTTAGGTCACACTCTGCCATCTATCTACCTATTGACTACACTTTATACCAATCCTTAGAGACACTGTGCCTGTACCACATATTTGAAACTGGTGTGTCCGTCACCCTCATGGTGTATCTCAATTCAGACTAGCTACATTTTGGGTATTCAGTCACCACATGCGGTTGGGGTCATTGTGGATTTGGAATATGAACTCTCTGGGCGTCTAAAGACTTGATTTACCCACATGTAACCTAACAGTTAGAAAGTTCCTTGCACCTGTTTTTTAAATTAACTAATTATTTAATTAATGCTTTTTTTTTAATCTTCCATCTAACAAACTTATATTGAATATATACAACTTAGGGAACCAAAACAAACAAACAAAAAACCACAGTAGGAATAAAAATGATTATACTACAGTATTTACAGTCTGGTGAAAGAGGTAATAAGTAATGTACTGAAACAAAGTCAGAAGAGTAGGAAAAGGGGTAAGGAAAGAAAAGGAAAGGAAAACAACCCATATCAATTTTAAGGGAAGTAAGAAGGGGCATGATTGGAGCTGAGATGTGGGCACAACCAGGCTCTTGGGAAGTGTGAAGCAGCAGGATCATAAAGATTACTGCAATGACTAGGATGACAAGTGAGGAAAGTTGCATTGACATAAGGGTTGGAAGAGAGAGAGAGAGTGAGAGGCAGAATCAATAGGGCCTGACCTGGATGTGCGGGGGAACAAGTCAGGAGAGGAATTATAAAGACTGAATTTTGAGCTCCATGCCTGAGAAAGAAGACAGTGCCATTACTAAACCTATGAAATCCCAAGAGATAACAGGTGCACAGATGAAGGGAGCTAATGATGACGTACCATCTGGTTCTAACACAGTGGGCTAAGCATGACCTCATTTTTATCCTTCTGACTTCTTTCAAGTTCAGGCATTCAGACCCAGTCGAGTAGGAATAGCATTTCTACAAAAAACCCAAAAGGTAATACCAACGACAAAAGACTCAGAAAACCCTCTCTCCAGATCTCAGTATCCTCTATAAAATGAAAAGGATGGAACTGGACTGGGTCCCATCTCTACCTAGTCAGTCCCTTGGACCAGGTTTCCAGAGTATTTTTCTTAGTCTCTGGTAGCTGAGAGTTGTAACAGAAGATCATACAGGTTTGAGTCTAGTTCTTCCAAGAATGGTTCACAAAGCTCTTTGGTTATTTCTCAGTGGCATCTGCCAACAGGAAAAATTAAAGAGAGAAACAAGCTCAAAATAGCCATTGCCATCATAAACGCTACCCATTCTAAGCTAACAACTTACAAGGTTATCAAAACCGTGATTACAAGTGTGAACAGCCAATTTCTGAACTGACACTAAGCCCAACACGGATGCTGGCAGGGTTTCTGTAAGGCTGCAAAGGTAACTGTATGCTATTTGACATGAGGACTTTGAACTCAAGACCAACAGCAGGGAACACTCCCAGGAGTTATGTCCACATATGGTCCCAGGTAAGCAACAGAAGCATCTCACCTCAGTCGTTCTTCTTCTTTTTTCCGCAGATTGAAGTCCCGCTGAACCACCTGGAGAACATGCTCTGTTTCATCATCCGTCAGACCAGACAGGTCCAGCTTCCTCCCCATGACTTAATATCAAACAGAGATGATGAAATAAGACCTGACAAATGAAACAAGACCACAAGTTGAGGGTAAGTTAGACCTCTACAAGAACAAAATCAACCAATTTTGTTATTGCAACAGAATTAAATATATTTATAAGAAGTAGTGTCTTGTTTTGTTCTCATATTCAGTAGACATTTACAGATAACTTCAGCAAGGCTGCAGAGAAAAAGAGCAGACAACTGATCATCCATTAGTGTCATTCATCTTAACACTTAAATTAGAAAAAAAGGTAAATTATTCCTTTCACCAAAATGAAAAACACAAGAGACCTAGTGTGGATTTCCTCTAAATGCCAAAAGATAATATTCAAAATTCTAATTTCTGTGACTTAAGTTCTAAATATTGCACATAACTGCAAAATAAAATAAATTATGCAACTTTCAAAAATTGTATCTATACTATATCCCTTGAAGTTCTAATCACATTACCATGAAATATAAACTACAAATTACTGTAAACTCCCATTTGCAAAAGGAAAAAATATATAGTATGATAATCTTATTTAGCTATTTTCTCACCAGTATGAAAGATGGTACTTCAAAAACACCTTCCAGCAGTAGATAACTAAAAATAATGTAGGAAACATTTTTAATGAATGGCTATGTTCTACAATGAAGTCAAATATTTTCAGGAAACTGTCTAAAATTTAAGACTACCATAAGCATGAATCTAAAGATCCTCAATAAAATACTAGGGAAATCAATTCAGTGAGACTTCCAAAGCATTATATATCATGACCAAGTGGATTTTACCTAAACAATGCAAAACTGACTCCACATTCAAAAACAAGTCAATGTAATCCACCATGTTAACCCTTGCTCTTTATAGTAACATATTTATCCCCCAAATTATATTTTTTGGCTTTCTAGATTTTTGAATTTTATATAAATTATATAAAAGAAATTATACTATATGCACATCGTACATTTATGTATATGTGGTATGCTTCTATGTCTCAATGTTGTGGTTTAAAAATTCTTCCTTATTGATGAAGATGCCTCCAACATTCTTTGTGCATTGTAGTAGAATGAGCCAGGTTATGAAACATGCTTGTCTCTGTTTAGACAAGAGAAGCATGCCACATGTACCTATATATGGTTCAAGTTCAAAACACAGAAAGCCAAAGAACAGCTTTTGCAGGAATAAATGCGGTGAAACCATAAAGAGAAAAATGGGACTTCTGAGGGGAAAGACAGAATCTGACTGCAGATAGTCACAAAGGGGCTCAAGGCTACTAATACTGTTCTGTCTTATTGGAGAGACAGAATTGCCGTTGTTTCTGCTACCGGTTCTTCTTAGCATTGTAAGTTTCAGATTATATACACTTTTTGTCTGTAAGGTGTCTTTTGTAAGTATATAAATAAGATAAACCTAAACTAAATAAAACTAAAAATTAATGTCATAATTAATGTAAATATTTGACATCATGCACCATTATTTCATAATTAAAGCATGATAGTTCAAGAAAATATTTGAAACATTGTTCAAGGAATACACTGAGATAATAAAAATAGTGATGATAATGATTTTGATAGACCTACTACTACTTCAGACAGTACACTTATTATGCAATAGACATTTTCATCTTTCAATAATCTCAACCATCACAAAATCCCATGGCGGTCACTCCATTGCCAGCCCTTAAATATGAGAAAACAAGGTTCATAGTTATATGCTCTAAGACAAAGGGCAGGTGTCTGTATCTCTGATTCAGAGTCCCTGCCTCTTCTGCATATGGCTTCCTAAGGGGCACTCTGGACTTCGAGTTTTTTAATTCGAGATCCAGGATGCTAAGCCCTCTTTTTTCTATCTTGTGACAGCAAGGTGCAGGAGTTCCTATTACTTGGTTGTCACTTAGAAACAACTGATGCGCCCGGTTTATTTCTAGAATTATGATATCAGCACAGAGAACAGAATAGTTTCATTCCTAAAATTCTGTTGTAGTATAATTTGAACCTCATGGCTCTGTGGCACAGATTAATCTCAGGAGTCAACCAACAAATCACAGAAGGAATTCCAATTACTGAAAACAAAATATTTTTTCATGCCACTAATGCTAATTGTTGAAATTTTTGATCCACTTTGCCCATGTGGTGGTGGAGGTGAGAAGCTCGGGTGCAGACTGAGAGAGAATTCAGTGTGTCTAGAAGTAAATTAGAAGTGAGACTCCACCCTTGTTAGGCTGCAAAGGCCAGGGGAAGCTTCATAAATTGCCAGTCTGCACTCTTGGCAAACAGGAAGAGAGGGAAGGGCACGGGGAAAATGCAAACACCCCATTAAAAAAAAAAACCATTAAAGGTGATAATGGCACTCTGGAGGTTCCCAGAAGGTGACATATCTGTCCCCTCCACTTCACTTCATTAGCTTTTGGTTTCTGAGAATTTTAAATAAGATTCCAAAACGCCCAGTTAGTAAAAGACAAAAGTGGCAGCTTTGATTATATCAAGTCTTAAAAGAAAGAACAGGACTCAAGAGGGATAAATGGTTTCTATAAAGATATAAATAAAGTAGCTCTAAGTGGACAATACAGAATAAGGAGAAAACCATTTTTGAAATGGTCAAAATTTTTCTTCCTTTTTTGGTAATAAACACAATTATGTTGCCAGCACAAAAAAAAAAAAAAAAACAGCATCTCAGTGTTGGACAAGCCTCAGTGTTTTCTCAGCAGGGGTCACTGAGGTATGACCCTTTCATTGCAAGGTAAAAGAGGAAAAGTCCAGGAGAAGGGAACAACTTCCAAAGACACAAAGCCAGTCCTCACCAGGGCTTAAGATCCGGGATTTCTCTGGTTCATACCCAAAGAAGATGGGAGCAAGGAGAATACAGTTTAAAATTTATTAATGATAAAATTAATACAACTTCAAGATTTAATTAGATCACATTTCCCTAATGTGTGTTTTTCAGGTTACTCTTTCCACAGCATCTGAGAAAGGGGAGCTCTGTGGTGAAATAAATTTGAGAAATGCTTCAAACTGTATTGTCCTCTTGGGGATGCACAGTGCAGAGAAGCTTATCAGAGCCTCTAGAAGGTCTGTGGTTAAAGACTCGGTCTGATTTTGTTTAACCCTGTATTTCTCACAGGTATTTCTCTGCAGGTACCTCATTCTTTGATTATAGGGACATCTTCACATTCAAAGAAATGACTGGGAAATACCGCAGCTAGTGCATCCCCTGACGACAGACTTTATCAGCTGCTCTAATGTAATTACTTGATTTAACTGTGTTTTTAAGTGTGATTGTCATAAGAAGCTACAGAATTAGATGAAACTTAGAAGAAGGCGATGATTTAAAAAGAAAAGCAAATGGATACAGCTGTAAAGTCAAAAGAACAAAAAAAGGCAGAAATGTCTCTACTACATTTGTGAGAAGTCACAAAAGTGAAGAAGGCCATAGACGTCTTAAAAGGTAACCAGGTAGGCCTCTCCCTGGTAGTGCAATGGGTTAAAGCCCCGCATTATGAAGCTCTACAAAGCCACTGCAGGACAAGTTTGATCCTTGGCCAGGGAGCTGACCCACATGGTGCAGCAGACCTCTCCTGACCCGCCCGCTGCTCCCCTCAGCAGTGTACTTCATC